ACTCCAGTGACAAAGCAACATTTGCAGAGTCTTCATGACAAACTTGATAAACTGCTTGCTTTCCCATCCACTTACTCTGATATGGTATTGAAGGCTTTTCTTGATACTGCTTTACAGCAATATACCTCGTCAATTGACAAGTCCACTGATGCAGTCAAAGCTTCCACACTGTCCTGTAAGAATGCAACATCAGAAGTGACCGAAGTTGTTCAAGAATCGAAAATCTTTCTAGATTTGTTCAAAGTCCATGCTAATTCAAATGAAGCAAAAGTTAATACCTCTGTCGATAATCTCTCCAAGACCCTTCAAGATGAGAAACTCAAATTTGATACAGTTCGTTCTAAGATCAGAGATGATCACCATTCTCTTCTCTCTTCAGTCAAATCTCGGTTTGAAAAGCTTCAAGCTGACCTACCCATAGACAAGAAGATTAATGATGACCTTGCTCAAAAGACGGCTTAACTAGACGTCCAATTTGGTCATCTTTCTCATGCTCAACAGGAGATTACATCCCTTAAGACTGAGAGGGTGGTTCTAAAAAGTTGTACTGGGGATGTTCTTTCAATTCTAAGCAAGCTTGTACATGCTCATGATCCTGTGCTCACCCTTACTATCAGGAATCACTTGACCATTAAACTTCTTCCTCCTATTCAAAATATTTGAGTCAGATTTACGGTGTTGTGGAGCCGATGGTTGATCCGCAACAAGGGGGAGAAGCTCAAAATCCTCCAACTCTATCCAAAATAGTTATACAAACCGAACCAAAGGTTAATGTAGCTTCGAGTTCTGGTCATGAAAAGTTGAAAGGTATTGTTGATGATGATGATGATGAGGAAGAGACAATAGCTGAGGCGTTAAAGAGGAAGAAAATAGATAGTGAAATTGATGAAAATTTGAGGATAACTAGAGCAGAAGAAGAGAAAAAGCGAAAACTAAAAGAAGCTCATGATGCTATGGTCTGCAAACAGGCTCTCTTTCTTACCTGGACTAGGGAAAGCCTAATAAAAGAATCGATTGAGTCTCCTAGTGTCCATTGGCTAGAGCTGGTTGCCTCGTTTGATTGTGATAATACGAAGGACTCGCAGTTCGATATGCCTATCATTTGCCAGGCATTTGTGTTCCATTGCTTTGATCCTACAGTCGAAGTCCCTTCTCCTCACCCGAAGGTTGATAAAGATTTAGTTGACTATTATCTGGAAGTCACTCAACCTCAGTACTTGACATGGAGTGCTCAGAAGATAACATTTGTCAAGGTTTTTAAACCAACTGTTGCTAGGAAATTCATAAATGTGAAGTTCAGGGTGACCCAGGGTTCTGATGATTCGGTGCATGTGATCACGTTGGCTGATTTTCCAAATCTAAACCCACGTGATTGGATTCTGTTGTTCAACATTCGGCTCACTAGTCAAGAACATTATGATCCGATCCTTGATCATATAAAGAGAATGTTGGCTTCCTATATCCATGAAGTTGCTAAGATGGATCAGGAAGTGGCAGATGTTCTGAGAAAGAAGCCAACAATGAAGCCCATTGGAAAGCCAAGTGATCTCAATAAGATGAAGATGGGTAAGATTGACCCGAAACATCTCACTATCATGTTCACAAGAGGCGAAGGTGAAAAATTCCTTTTCGCTCTTGCTGACAAACATCTGTTCTCCACTTCCTGCCTGGAGCATGTTCTTGATATAACTCACCGATGCAAATACAACAGTGATTCAGACAAGAAGAATATTTCTGACATGCTTCGATGGTATATACATTTTTTTATACTCTTCTGGCCATTATACCGAAGGTGTTCAATACGGTGAAGAAGTCTGCTCTTTCTCAGCCGAACTAAGATCTCGCCTCTATTAACGCAAAGGGGGAGATTGTTGAGATTAGAGTGTTGCGTCATATGGGCTTATTTGTTAACATTTTGATTAACCGGTTTGGGCCTGTCCAACCGCGATTTATTCATTAGGGTTAGCGTATATAATATGCATGCATGTATAGTTTTGAGGTTAATGTTTTCATTAATAGCAATAGCGTTGTAACCCTAACCACACCTATAAAGTCGAAGTTCTTCATCGTGCTCTTTTGAGGTGTGAGATATTAATCATTCGACATCTTTGATCCATTCTCGTGTTCTTTGCTTTGTTATTCTTGTTAATTTGTTTAGAATCTATCGATCAAATAGCGCAATATTTTCAACAATATATTATCATCCCCAAATTAACCCTTATATTTATATTTTAACAACAATTGAGAATTTGAAATCCAAATATTTATATTCTTCTAGCAGCTGGTCCCAGCTCTTCGAGACTCTTCCTCTTCCAAATGTACGAAAACAATTATTATTCAGTCTTTTACATATAAATGATAATTTTAAATTCTAAACTTGATTATTTAATGTTTTTTTATTTTTATTTTAGATTAAGTGGATATGCCCTACTTCACCTTCTCAACCATTAACCTTATTCGGTGGCTTTCCCACAATTGCATGTGTGATTTAAATTTTGATGGTACTATTTTTTTATTATCATAATCTAAAATTGTATCCCTAGGGTACATATGTAATTATGTATGATGGATTTTAGGGTTTTATGTAAGTAACCTATCTGAAGATGCACATTAAGATGTAGAATCAATGGATGCTTCTGCAGCACATGTATTTAGTCTCTTATCTACTGAGCCTCCTAATAGTAAGTTTCAAAATTCAAATTTGATTTACGACGACATTGAATTTTCACATCAAAATGTATGTATAGGCAACAATTGTTGTTTTTGATCATCATTTGTTATAAGGGTAAAAGAGTCCAAGAAAAGTGGTGAATGAGATATTTATTAAGTTAACCATTTTGAGAGTCCTACAAAAGAAGATATTAGGTAATTTTCTTTTCTTTTTATAATTTCTTTGTTGTTCATATTGTTAGGTTTTATAATATTGTTACTTTAATTTGGTTACAGGAAGGGATATTTCATTTATATATGACATATATTACTGAGAATATAATTGATATGGGATTTCTTGTTGGTGATATGAGCTCTGGATTCTTTAGATATTTTGAGGTAATGGAGTTTGTTATTATCTGATTAAATGCATTAGCATAATTTGTAATTTGCTGATGACAAGATAGGTACAAGGTGTAATCTTTGCTCTGAGGGGCTATAATGCTATATGATGCATTATTGATTGAAAGGAAGCTTAGTCAAAATGTACTAATCTACCCCTAATAACATTGTACTTTCAGTTTTAATCTTATTAAGACATTATACCATGAAAAAAAGCGGGATTCTTCCATAGTTTTAAATAACTTACAACAACAATAGTTAAAGTTAAATTATATGAAAAAAAATTATATTGTTACCTATAAAAACAAAAGCAATGTTTGATGTTTTAAATAACTACAATGACAGAAATTAAAATTTTAAGCAAATAAATTTTTTTAAATTAATTAACCATAACAACTATAAATATAATTAAACCATATATTATACTTAATTTAATTCACAAGTAACCCGCATGTAGATATCATTGAGACGATTAAGATTATATAACTTTAAAATATGTCTATATTATCATATAATTCAAAAAAAAATATATTTATATTAACTTATTATAAGATTTATTATATAAGAGCTAACAACGTCATTGATATATTTAAAAAAATATATTTATAAAAACTTCAAATATATTGTTATATTTTACGCAACAAACGAGTATTCGGCTAGTTAACATAAAGTTGGGGAAATCATAACATTCCTATATAAAATTTATCCGTCAAACATAAATGCAGATGGAAGAAGATAAAAAGAGAATAAGAGTGCTTCTCAAAGTTAGAGTGATTGATTGCTTATATGGAGAATTCACCACAAACTAATTGATGTGACATTTTGGTGTGATCAAAGACTCTGAGATTAGGGTTTTTTTATTATTATTATTATTATTTAATGGTTGGTGCTAACTTTTTATTAAAATATTTGTGATTAGGGTTTTTGTTTTTTATGGTTGGTGTTAACTTTTCATTAAAATATTTGTGAGGTTTTATAAAAGTTTTAATAGAATCGAAAATGGTTAGGATTTGTAGTAATTTTGGATTTGAAGATAAATTTGACCATATTATTTAATCTAATGCTAATTAGGATTTGTTAAGTATTTATTTGAAGATTTTATTATTTTGGTATGTTTTTCGTCATTCATGCAATCAATGGATCAAGTGGTGACTTTGATTCCTCAGATAAAAAAATATGCAGCAAGGTATAATCAATGTTAGATAGTTAAGCTTGTTTACATATAGAAAACTAATATCTAAAATTTAATATACAATTTTTTTTAGGGATGCAATTGTACCACTGACGCCCTAGTTAACACTGTCATTGGTGACAATAGAATAGGTTTTACTTATAATCTTGTAATCTAATTCATGGGAATATTTGTTACTCAAAGTTCTCCTTTTTGTCTTGAGTATATATTTTTTTTACGGCAGAACCATATTACACTATAAATAAGCTAGAAGAAAAAAATTACGAAGATAAAATAGCAATATTTACGTTTTCTAGCAGTTAACAACAATATGACTCAAACAAAATGCTCTTTTGGGATTTATAGCTCCAAAAATATTATTGTATCGAAAATACCATATTGACCATATTTTTGTTAATACAGTTGCATCAAAACATTGTCTTTGTTGAACATTGATCAACATATTATATCCTTAAGAAAGCCATTAAACAATCCTCCTTATAGGTGGATATTACGAGTTGTATTACAATCAAATGAAGCCAAAGAGGAAAACAACTTGTAATTCCCAATGCAAATGTATCACAAGTTTTAGGGACGCATTTTTACCTTGTTGACCTTCAAGAACCAGACAAAGTTGGACACATTGTTTTAAGCATAAGTATTGTCGATCACAAGTCACCCAAATTTAACACATCTGCCACCATTCTGAATTTTATACAAACATCCCACATCTTATGCATAGTAATGGATAGCATGCACATGGGATAAAGTTTATTGCATGACACACCTCAAAGCAAGTTCAAAGTTGAGGTTGGTTTCCGGAGAGGAGTCGAGTGGGAGCCAAAATCTAGAGTTTGTTACCCTTAAGGCTCAAAAAGTATATGTAAGTTATCTTTCTCTAATTTAGATTTTCTATTTGATATACATATTAGTTTTCTTAGTCTTTATCACAATAACATTCGTGTTAATTTTTTTAAATTGTAGGAAACGTACCACAATGCAATGAAGGATAAATATGGTGATGACCTCACTTTGCATCCACTTGGTGATGTTAGATTGTGGGAGCAGTGTGTAGGTGGGAGAAAGAAGGGTTGGATTTTTGGGGTAGGAAACTCGGATCCAAGTTTCGTGGTGACCGGGACACCAATTGTGGCATGTTCTCTATGGACTATGCTCGATCTCAACAAGAGGTATTGCTATTATCGTTAGAAAATGCAAGTGTGTGCGTGTCTATATATATATATATATATATATATATATATATATATATATATATATATATATATATATATATATATATATATATATATAGACACACACACACTTGCATTTTCTAACGATAATAGCAATACCTCTTGTTGAGATCGAGCATAGTCCATAGAGAACATGCCACAATTGGTTTATATATATATATATATATATATATATATATATATATATACACACACACACACACACATACATACATTCCTGTGTATTAGGTAAAAAGAGTAAACCACATTGCTACTAAGGATAAAAATATATATTGCTATTATGGTTAGAAAATGTAAGTATGTTGCTATTAGGGTGATATGTTTTGGTTAGTTAAAATTTTAAATTTGTATGTTTAGGGTTTATTAAGTTATTAAAGTGGTACATTTTTCTTTGTTATTATATTGTTCATATATATGTTTTGGTTGTTTAAATTGTTATAGTGGTGTGTTTAGGATTTGTGAAATTGTTAAAGTGGTTGAAATTAATATGTTTAGCTTTGTTAAATTAACTTGGTGATGTGTTATGAGAAAAGTATGTTGTTAGACATAACTAGGTTGCTATTACTGATAGAAAATGTAAATATGTTGCCATTATGGATAATAAAGGTAAATATGTTTCCTATATTTGGTAAAAATAGTAAACTATGTTGCTATTATGGATAATATTGTTTGATTTACCATTTTTTTAGATACGGGACTTGCAAACCCAACTCGATGAGTCCGAAGCCCGCCATCAACAAGAGTTGGAACAATTTCGAAAAGAACATGAGGAATCCAAAGCACGTCAAGAAACTATGGAAAACGTATGGAAGAACTTTGGAGTAAATTCATGCCAAACAATTAGTGTGTAGAGTTTAGTATTTGTAGGTCTTGGTATTTGAAACTTCCCATAGATTAAGTTTATGAATTTGGGAATTGAAACTTTTGTATATTTTATATTTGAAACTTTCTAGATTAAGTTTATGGATTTTGTTGAAACTTTGTTGGTCATATTATATTTTTTCAAATTAACTGCAAAAATTTGGATTTTATGCAATTTGTAAATATATAACATTTGAAATCTGTTATGTTACCCACAGACTATCCACGGAATCACCAAAAAAGAATATTTGTGGAAAATCTGTGGGTAAACAATTCTGTGGAAAATATGTGGGTAATAGAGCCGTGGAAAACCCGTGGGTAATCAAGTTGTGGATAAGCTGTGGGTAACTTTGCTCGTGGATATTCCGTGGGTATTGTAGTTGTGGATAAGTTGTGGGTAACTTTGCTCGTGGATAAACTGTGGGTAATTCTGTGGGTAAACTGTCTGTGGTAAATCTGTGGGTAAATTTGTTCGTGGATAATTTGTGGGTAATTCTGAGGGTAACCCGTGGGAAAACATTACCCACGAGCTTTTTCCCACGAATCTGGTTTCATGGACAATCCGTGGATAAAGACCATTACCCACTGATTACCCACAAATAGGGTCGTGGGTGAAAGTCTGTTTTGTTGTAGTGACATACATGGAAAGGGATGATCATTTAAAATAAGTAGAGTTATAATATTGATGGTATTTGTTCCTATGGGTACTAAATGATGAAAAATCATGCCTCAATTTCCCCATCCCCGTTTGTCATTTCGACATATTGTCAATCATCAACATCAAGATTGGAAATAGTTTCTAATAAATAAAAAAAACATGTTCACACGTTCGATGAATTATTGAATATTCAATACATGACATAAATCTAACTTATACAAAGCAAAAAGAGAGACGAAACCTGATCTAGAAAAAGTAATCACCTATGAAAAAACTCCTCGCCCATAGGACGACCACTAGAAACAACCTAATGACGACTACCTCCCAAAGAGCGCATTTAGTTAAAAAAATATTTTACTTCAAAAACAATTGTATTTGTTGAACATTGATCACTACATTATTTGCCTAAGAAAATCTTTGGCGAGCATTGTTGACCGCATTATCACCTTAAGGTTGTGTTTCATTAAACTTAAATATGATGAGGAACAATATTAACTAATAACTAATAATAAGTGTCATATGATGAAGATTAAGGGTTCTAAATATAGTTATTCACTATAATGATAATATAGAGTGAATTTATATTTCAAGATAACAATATTTTTCCGGATTCAATAAAACTACCACTTATTCCACTAAAAACGTTTGTGATATAGTGGGAAGGGAATATTTTGACTTATCAATTACACTACCCTTTCTCACTAATCAACAAAATTTGTTACACAAAATTTTCAGAATTATGAACTAAACCCTCATAAAAGTCTACAACATATGTAAACCTACATTTTTGGAATAATGAACTACGATTAATTTTTCAAATCCATGCATATTACAAAAAAAAATAATAACACTAATATTAAGTTTTGACATTTTTCTCACATTATTGTTTTCATTTGTGAAAGTTACTTGACCTATATGAGAGAGGTAATGATGTTAGGGATTTGGAATGACTCCGATAGTGGTTGTGGTGTTGTTCATTTGACAATTGATATGATGGTGAGTTATAAGGGATATTTTGAGAATAATGTTATCAAGTCAGATCAATGCATTCATATTGACATATACTTTTCAAACATCTAAGGTCTTCCAACATGTTTTTAGATATCCCTTAAGACCAGGATCATAATAAGCGTCTGATATTTAAGATGAATCTATATCCGAAGCTGATGTTAAGATTAAAGGAGTAGACTTGTCTTATGAAGAAGACCCGTTGGAATAACAGATACCATGATATATTGATCAAGAAAAAAAATTCTCATGTAAGTTTAGTTAATCCATAATCTCCAGTTGATGGTATATATTCACAAACATACTAGAAACCACGAACCCTCTACGTACGGATCATGGTTTGCATTTACAATGGGATATGACACAATCTTTTGTATATGAAATGAAGATGTTAATAAATAATACTTGTGAAAGAAACCAATGATTCATTATTTTGCATTAATAAATAACCCTTACAAAAAGCACAAAAAGCAGGAGTTATTATGGAGACCGTGCTACAATTTAAATAGTTGTAATCTAAATTCAAAAGGTAGACTTTTTCATTTTATTATCCTAAACAATAATGTTTATGAATGGTCGTTCAGTTTCTTCTTCTTCTAAATTGCTTCATCATTGTTTGGATCAAGCAACCAAAGAGAGAAGAGGTTGATACGAATTGGTGAAATATAAAGCTCTCATTGTGATGTCAACACTCTATTACCTTATAGACTCCATTGATCAACGGAATAAGGTTTTTTAGATTTCAAAATTTCAAGTTTTATGTAACTAATATCTTGGTATGAAGTGTAATGAACTCATATTTTACATTACATTTATATAATACACTAGTTTATAACTCGTGGGCACCACGGCTTAGAAAGATAAAAATAATTTTAATTAAATTATAAGGTAATTATTGAGCAATGATAGAAAAAAAATTAACAATTTAATAAATTAGGCAATAGATATTATAAATAAATTTTTTGTTGACGTGTTTGATATGTGTAAAATAGATGAGTGAATTAGTGTAAATTTAATTAATGAGGAAAAACCTTAGAATGACAAGTGGCAAATAATTAATGTGAAACTCTAATTGATTGACACTTGTCAAATGTGCTACTCTTTTATTAAATAGGGAGATGAGAAAACACAGACAATATTTTAAATAGATAGACAAAAAACTAACTTTACAAAGCTACAAATATTTTCTTGTTAAATTCATAACAAATTGAAAGGTATATAATAGAAATTGAAGGATAGTTGGAATTCAAGATGAAGCACAAAAACCATATTTTGAAATTAAAAGATAAAAAAACAATTGGATATAAAAGTTGATGAAATGATACAATAATTTTATTTTGAAGTATAAAAACGTGATTTTTCAAATATTATATTAATTAGTGGTTTTCACAATATCACAACGTTCATAGTGCTATTTATCACTACTAGAAAACATGTGGTTTTCCTACGGAAATTAGCTACGGAATAATTACGAATCAGCTACATAATTGGATGCTCTAATATAGTAACAGAATAACTAGTGTAAGTCCCTAAAACTGAGAATCCAATAGTGACCAAACAAATGCCAATCAATCAAGCAAGAATGGAGTAGAAAACATATTCAATCCAAGCATGCACACGTTTTATATATCGAATAAACGTCTAATACACCTTGGTGCCGTAAACTATAGAGACTGACTGATTCGTCAACAACCTGACACAAATCTGACACACCCTATATATAGGGGTAGGTTGGCCGTAAACTTGTTTACGGCCGTACGCACTATCACAACCGTAAACTCTTATAAATCAGTTAAAACACAACCAAGAACCTAACAAGACTTATACAAATAATTGTCTAGCCCAAACCACAAAATAATGACCTTTCAGAAAATATAAAAAATCCAATGCTTCATCCGTGATCATCGGAGAATTCTCGTTCGAAGATTTCCTTTAGTTTTGTTTTGTCTTGAAAAGTGAATTCAGATGTAGATGAGGCTCATGGAGATTGTATTGAGATTTCTAAGCCAGTGCTTCATCCGTGATCATCGAAGAATTCTCATTCGAAGGAGCAAGAAATGAAGATTATTCTTTCAACTTAAATATTTCAATCCCTGAAGCAAGGTGAAGCTTCACTTGAAGATTATGTGACAAATTTCATTGAAGTCTTCTTAATCAATTTGTTGCTATCATGTACCTGCTGAGGTGATCCAGAAGATTTGATCTCTCTATTCTCTCTAAAGATTCTCAAGCTAAAAGCGCCATTTTTCAAGAATCTCTACAAGAAGCCTCCTCACTCAATGTACGTTCCTCACTCAATGTGCGTTCAATGTCAAATTCTAAAGAAAAGCCCAACTGCTCGAGATGAATTCATTTATTGAAGATTCATCAAGTTCATCTTGAAGTTGTGAAGAATTCGAAGATTAAAGTTGAAGCCAAAATCCAAATGAAGATTGACAAGAAAAGTCAGCTACTTTTTAGGGGGGGCTTGTTGGGTTAATTAGAAAACAAAGCTATAAACCAATGGGAAGATTGTTGGGTCTAAAATATTGGTTTATACTTTACTTTTCTAGGAAAATATATATTTTTCAGTCTAGGAATATAAACAACTTGGTGTTTACGGCTGTATGTATGTTTACGGTTGTGTTTATGGCCGTAAACCCATTTATGGACCATATTCCGCAAGTATATATATATAGGTGTTAGGTGGTTGAGGAGGCATTGATGAACAAAAGAGAGTGTACGGCCAAGAGAGAGAGAGAGAGAGAGAGAGAGAGAGAGAGAGAGAGAGAGAGAGAAGCATAAGTGTGTGTAAGTGTGTGAATCTTGTGTAAGGAACTTCATTCATATCATCAATACATTCAAGATTCATATTATTATTCTTCTTTTTCTCATCTATTTTGATCTAGAATCATTCGTTTTATTGGGATTCCGCACCATCAAACGGATCTGATTGATACACAAGCAAATTTGGGACTTACAGCTTCGGATGCCAACCCGTTTGTAGCTAATTAGCTACGGAATGGCTACAGAGTAGCTACGGATAGAAATTCGTAGCAATTTCATAGCTAATTAGCTACGGAATAGCTACGAGCTAGCGACGGAAGAAAATAGTTACAGAATAACTATGAAATAGCGAAGAATTTATAATTTCCATTATTATTATTATTACTCCCATTATTATTATTTTTCATTATTTGACTCTTAAATTTTTTTTTATTATAATTTTTCTTACATATTTAAGACACGAACAATTAACAATCATAATAATAATAATATTAAAAATAATATTTATAAACATCATAATAATATATAATAA